TTTTTTTTTTTTTTTAATGCCTCTGAGTCACTGGGAGCGAGGGGATGGAGGAACAAAAAGGCCCCATTAACGTCAGCAGAATGCAGGGAATGACTCAAAAAGTGAGATCCATAAAAATTGGATGTTGTGGGAGTGCAAATGCTCGGGATGTGCTTCCAGAAGTGCTGGATGGGGCAGGCAGAACAGGGATGGGAGCTGGGATTTGCTTCCAAGCCAGGACTCCAGGGGTGTCTGTGGCTCCATGGAAGTGCAGCACCCAGGATTGAATTTAGCAGGACTTTTTTTGTCTTCCAGAATCTTCCATCTTCCCAAATTTCCTCCTGGTGGTGGGTGGGGGCTCAAAGAATCCCCGAATTCCCCCCACCGGTTTCTTTTATCCATTTCTCTCTTCCAGAACAGTATAAAGGATGTTCAGGGAGGGGAAATAACTTGCAATGAAAACAAGAGGTTCTGACCCAACAAAATTCAGGTCAAACAATTCATAAGTGAGGAGAAAAAGGCGAAGAAATCTGGGAAAAACATCCCAGGAGCTGGAAGTGCTGCTAAGGGTTTAAATCCCAGGGGAAGGCAGGAAATGCAACGTTTCTCTTGAGGTTTTGGGGGTGTTCAAGGTTTTTATGTGCCCTTGGCCGTGTCATTGTCACCACGGTGGGTCATGGCCACCTCTCCCAGCAGGAGGAGGTTTGGGCTCCACATCCAAAGGTCCCCTTGGAGGAAGCACCAGGCAGTGGGGCCAGTGTGGGATCACTGTTTCCAGCCTTTCCTCTCCCTCTTTGTCTCATTCCTTTGGGGAAGGGGCTCTTTTCCTTCCTGGCTGGGAGATGTCGGCACCACCTGGGCCGTGCTCGGATCCGGGCGGGAATGTGGAGCTGTGTCCTGACAATGCCCAAAGATCCCACAGCCCCCCTCCTCTCCAGCCCCTCCTTGCCTTCAAAAGCCTTCCCTGGCTGGGCCAGGAAATAGGATGTTTGTCCAACCCGGAATTCCAGCGCACCCACTCCGAGCCAGGAAACCCCAGGGAGTGAGGGATGCGGAGCAGCAGCACGTGGGGGGAAAATAAATAAGGGAATAACAAAGCATGTCCCGTTTGGGACTATCTCCTGGATGGCAGAGGATTCAGGATGAGAGATTTCATCCTCCTGGATAGAAAATTAGGCTGATTTTCAATGATTTTCCATCATAAATCATGGAATCCCGGAATGGTTTGGCTTGGGAGGGACATTAAAGCTCTTGTTGTTCAACCTCCTGCCGCAGGCAGGGACACCTTCCACTAGCCCAGCTTTCTCCAAGTCCTTTCCAACCTGGCCTGGAACATTCCAGGGATGGAGCAGCTTTTCTGAGCAACCTGCACCAGTGCAAGGTGGCGTTGCCTGTGAATCCATGGATTTTGCTGGGAAGAATTCCCAAGTGCAGCCCATCAGCAGCCAGGTTTGCAGCACAAGGTTGGAGCATCGCCCTTGGCACGTTGGATTTTTGTTGGCTTTCTTCTTCCTGGCAGCCCTGAGTTCACCTGGTGGCCTTTCCACATCCTTTGGGAGCAGCTGGATGATGGGAAGATCTTTCCATGTCAGAGCCATGGGCTGCCAGCAGAAACCAAAGGGATCCTGCTGCTTCCCCCATCCCCTGGATCCTTGGAAGCCCCATGAGATGTGTCTGTCTGCTCTCTTTGGAGGGAAGGTTTTGGTGGATACAGAGGAGAAAAATAAGTGGAATAGAGAATAAAATGAAAGGAAAAATAAAGCTGGAATCTGCTTGGGAACTCGAAGTTTTCATCCAGAATGGAAGCATCACCCAAATGGGATATTGCAGTGGGAAAATGGGGATTTGCTTCCCAACCAGAATATCCTTCCAGGTGTTTATTTGTAGGAAATGCCTCCTGCAGCCCAGGGGGCTCCAGAGGGAGAGGGATTTGGGCAGCCCGGGGTGGACAGATCCCAGCAGCACCTGGAGGTGTGAATGGGAGGGATGGTTCCCAAAAACCTCTGCCAAAGGAGCAGCCACTGGGATGATGTTTGGGAAGTGGATTTTCCTGCCTGCTCCCACACCAAGGACCTTATTTCAGCCATGGGGCAAAACCCCAGCGGGAGCAGAACCAGGAGAGGGGAAAAGGACACTGGGATTTTTAGTGTTCAACCCCAAATCCCCCTCAGCCAAAACTGTGCCATGAGCACCAAACTGTCCCCTCAGCACCAAACTGTGCCATGGACACCAAACTGTCCCATCAACACAGAACTGTCCCATGGACACCCAACTGTGCCATGGACACCAAACTGTGCCATGAGCATCAAACTGTCCCATCAACACAGAACTGTCCCATGGACACCCAACTGTCCCATGGACACCAAACTGTGCCATGAACAAGAAACTGTGCCATCAACTGCTGGGATCAGTTTGGAAAAGATTCCCAGCACTTGCTTGGACCTCAGGCTGCATTTTTTCAGAGCAGAAAGGTCTCCAGCCCAAACCAATCTCTCTGCTCTCCTTTTTGGGTTAAATCCTCAAGGATTTCAAGGCTGGGTTGGACGGGGCTCGGAGCAGTTGGGTCTGGTGGAAGGTGTTGGAATGGGATGAGTTTTGAGGTCTCTCCCAGCCCAGACCCTGGGACCTTCTGCTGCTCCTCACTGTCCCTTTTGCCCCACAGCCAGGAGGTCCCTGCTTCACCAGGGTCACCTGCGTGTCCTTGGGATCCCTGCTTTGACAGGACCAGCTCGTGGCTTCTTGGGATTCTTGGTCCATCGGGATCATCTGGTGGATCCTTGGGATCCCTCATCTACCAGGATTAGCTGGTGTGTCCTTAGGATCCCTGGTTTGACAGGATGATCTGGTGGATTCTTGGGATCCCTGATTTACCTGGATCAGCTGGTTGATCCTTAGGATCCCTGATCCACCTGGATCAGCTGGTTGGTCCTTGGGATCCCTGACCCATCTGAATCAGCTGATTGATCCTTGGGATCCCTGATCCACCCGGATCAGCTGGTGGCTTCTTGGGATTCTTGGTCCACCAGGATCAGCGGGTGTGTCCTTAGGATCCCTGCTCTGCCAGGATCAGGCTCTTGGGATCCCTGGTGGATCCCTGGTTTTCCAGGTCAGCCCCCATGGGCAGCCCTGTTCCAAACAAGCTGAGGCAGCTGAACGTGGCACATCCTGGCTCCCTGACGCTCCCTCCTGCCTGAGTGCTCCCATCCTACCCCCATTCCTGCTCCCACGTGGTTCCAGGCCAATCCATTTCCGAGCCATCGCCTTAGGAGCCGTAATTCCTTTGTCGTGTGCACACGGAGCGGCAGCGCCGCGTCCCAGCCGGGCAGAGCCCGCTCCAGAGGAGAGCAGCTGGAATTCTGCAGCAGCACAGGGGCTTTCCACGCCTTTTGTGAGCCCTCCCTGGCACCGGGGGGGGGGACATTTGTGATTTTCCGGGGGTGCCACGTCGGCCAAACCTTGCCAGGTAACCCCTTACGGCGGCACGGCTCGGGAGCGGGATCGGAGCCGGGGGAGGGATTTTGGGAATGCTGATCCCGCCGTGTTCCCCCAGATGTCATGGCGCCCGCAGTACCGCAGCTCCAAGTTCCGGAACGTGTACGGGAAGGTGGCGAGCCGGGAGCACTGCTTCGACGGCGTGCCCATCACCAAGAACGTACACGACAACCACTTCTGCGCCGTCAACGCCCGATTCCTCGCCATCGTCACCGAGAGCGCCGGCGGCGGCTCCTTCCTCGTCATCCCCCTCGAGCAGGTCAGCACGGGCCCTGCAGGGCACTCCCACCCGCAGCTGCTCCGTCCTTATCCCTATCCCCATCTCCATCCCCATCCCCATCTCCATCCCCATCCCCATCTCCGTCCCCATCTCCATCTCTGTCTCCATCCCCATTCCCATTTCCTTCTCCATCTCCATGTCCATCCCTATCCTGATGCCCATCTCCATCCCCATCTCTGTCTCTGTCCCCATCCCCATGTCCATCCCCATCCATCTCTATCCCCATCCC